GGGGTGCACAGAGCAGCACGGGGTGCTGGGGGTGCACAGGCTGCCCAGGGGCCTTGGGTGCACAGGGTGGGGGTCAGGGCTGCAGTTGGGCGCATGCAGCGGCACAGAGGGTGGGCCAGGTTTGCAGAGGGTGCTGGGCACCCACGGGGGCGGGGAGCTTGCAGCCGGCTCTCCATGTGGCCCTGTCCCTCCGCAGGCCTCCTGTCCGCTGCCACCCTGGCGCTGCGCTGCATGGATGGCGTCATCCTCTCGCCCAACGAGGATGAGTTCGTGGGCAGGATCGTGGAGGAGCTGGAGCGCTTCATGCTGCAGGGGCAGCACCACAGGTAGGTGCCCCGCCACGGGCGCAGAGGGGTCTTTGCGTGGGGCGACTTACTCCACGCTGGCTTGTGCCACTCCAGGAGCAACAGCGCGTTGTGACTCTTGTCTCTGTTCTGCATCGGGTTTTTTGGGTGAAAACGTCGGCTGGGTTTGAGCAGCGGCGTTCGGAGCTGGGCTGCAAGGGCTGGCTGGCTGCAGAGCTCCAGGGCCAAGGATCGGTGCGGGGTTTCTGCCGTACGCCCTTCTCCGTTCATACTCCTCCAAGCAGAGTTGTTTTGGATGCTCATGGCTTTTGCACCAGCCCCCGTCTGGCCTAGCTCACTAATCAGCCCGACGAGTTATAATGAATAGTTTCATAATCAAACTGTTTCATTTCCCCCCTCTGCTGAGGGCTTCCTGCGCGCTGGATCCTCCTCCACAGCAGCGAACTCCATCGCCTTGGATTGATGCATCTTTTTTCTTTGTCCAGGCTGGATTTAACTGGACCTAGTCCCTGATCCAGTGACCTTTGAAGCCCTTGAGATGGCCAAAAAGAGGGTGTCAGGCAGGAGCAGGAGTGGGATTGCTTAGTTCAGCTTCCTGCCAGTTTGTAATGACCTTAAATATTTGTTTCATTGCTTTTTTTTAAAAAAAGTTTGGCAGAGAAAGTACCAGTGTAATTGTAAAGTGCTCAGGAACGAAACTAGAATTGTAAAAACGTGTCTAAACGCAATGAAATCGAACACGGTGTTTATTCATTCGTGTTCTTTTAGTTGCTGGTTTCTGGGGCGCATTCAGACTGGGAGGAAGGGGACCAGGAACAGCCTTCTGCTGGTGCTTTCCAGCTTTTCCCAGCACGGATACAGGCAGGAATGAGAGCCCCAGCCAAAGGCCGGGGTCCAGGCAGCCCCAGTGACCCCACGCTCCCGGTGTGACGTGCAAAGCGAGCGCATCTAGACATCTAGGATGGAGGAGGGATTTTGGCTCTGTAATACTAGAAAGTCCTGCTTGGATTTAAACCCTGCACGGGGAGTGACTTGGGGAAGAGAGGTTAATAAATTTTTGCTACATTCCTGTCCTTTTCTTTCCTGCAAGTTGCTGATGCCCCTGACCCCCCTCTCTTTTCAGCGTGCTCCTGTTCCCCCCTCTGTCCAGTCGCCTCAGGTACCTGATCCACCGGACCGTGGACAACGTGGATTTGTTGAGCAGCTTTTCTGTGGGAGAAGGATGGAGGAGGAGGACGGTCATCTGTCACTCGGCCGTGAGGTATGGTGCGGTAGACGTAACGGTGGTTCTCTTTCTATGGCCGTGGGGTTTTTGCTCAGGCTTATGAGTGTGAAGTTTGCACGGTGCTTCTCCGCAAAGAGGAGGGTGTCTGTTGTTGATAGCATCTTCCAGTCATTAAGGAAGCAGGGGCTTCCCCCCAGCCCCATCTGCTGACTTCCATGTGGATTTGACGCTTTTCCTCTTCTCTCTCTTTTGCAAATGTCACATCACTTGGGTTCCTCTGCTCCCCGCTCACGTCTCGCCGTTCTCTCGGTCCCAGGCTGCCCAGCGAGACCAGCGACCAAAAACCCAGCAGCAACCCACCAAGACCACACCGACCTCCG